TCTCCATTTCCAGTGTCTTTTCCAAAAAGCGTCACCGACGAAATTTGGAACCGTCTAAGTGGTGACCAGGATCCACATATTTCAGGAAGCATTGCAATGGAACTCTAACTACGATAAACCACAAAAACAAAGACAAAATAAATGAAATGCGGCACAGCCACCGAACATTCTCGTTTCGGGAGTTCATTTGCAGCAAAGTATCGTTTACTGGCCATCAAACCCTGAATGATGGCTGAGACTAGACTAATAAAATCATCTTATAAAGACATAGTTGACATAACCAACCTAGAGGCGTTTAGTTTCCTTTCCATTTGAGAGGACGGGGTTTGTGCCTTCGAACCATTTATGAAAGCTCCTATTGTTGGGTAGCATTTTCATCCATTATGTTTTACTACTCATAACTTTTGGGTCTACTGATCAAAGTGCATTTCGGAGGAAGGCACGGCAATTTTTTCTTCTGCACCCTCCTCCCCCTCCCTCTCTTACCCCTACGTATTTAGAAAAACTGCATCCCTGTAGCCTTACCTTGCTCGATAAAATGGCTCTACAAGAGCCTGGAGACAACATTACTTTTGGTTTTGTCACGCCATCGTACAATCAGCTGGAAGCGTTGGCAGCCTTCACTATGGGCATAATCGCTACCGGTGCAGAACTCGCCCTTCGCAACATGATCCCAACTATTTAGATCAAAACCCACGCAATTTTGTATCAACGGATGCAAACAACATATTTAGAAACCCCTAACATCTTCATTTATGCAATATGACGAGAATTAAAGCGTTTCATCTCACGCGTGTCCACCCATCAGCACGCTAACTCTGAGGTGCAACAGGTAATGTGAGAGGTCTACACCAGCGATACTCGGCCTCCTGTCTCAAAGCCGCTGTTCCTCTCAGCAGCAGGAAGCCCCAGATGAATCTTTGACGTGTGTCGCTCCAAAGTCCTCTGTTTATCGCTGCAGGTACAGCTCAGGTGTCCACAAACAACAATCCTTCTCGATCAGCAGGGTGTTCTAACGCTGTTGCGTTAAATGCTATTACTAAAAAACTGACGATTAGCTACGTTCTTCTTGCCAGTGAGCTCTCCTCACGACATGAACACGGCCAACAGCATCTCACAGCCTTGCATTGAACCCGCTGCGTTACCGTGCGGCGAGCACTCGCGCGCCATCTGTCTCACATGGCTTTGTGGGCCAATGCAAGGCCTCTGTTTTCCTCGACGGGCCTAAAGTCACTTCTGAGGCGGGGGGGGGGGGGGGTTTCTTCCGGCATAAGGCCGGGCAAGGATTACGTTAAACTGGCTTACGCTGTCCGGCGCAAAGCAAGGGAGGGGTTATTTTGAAGTGACGTTAGGTTAACCCGGCTCATTTTTGTCCAACAGGGTCATAGCGAGTAAAGCAGACCGCAGCAAAAGATATACTTATTTCATCACGACGCAACACGCATTCAGTACGCTTGAACGACAAGTGAGCTTCCCCACCCGCCCTTCCGCCAGACTTCTCGGGTGACGCGAGTCCTGTGTATGGTGTCCGCGTCAGCGGTGTTAGCGGCGGCATTACCTCAGCTGACCTGTCGGCGACGTGTGCGATGGATGGATGCCGAGCCGCTTCATCACAGCAACGGGGAGAGCAGTCCCGGGCTCCGCCGCCCGGCACGATTTTGTAGTGCTGTGTGATGTTATTGAGTCCTGGAAAGTTCTCACTAAGAAAACCAGGACTCCTAGCCAATAGGGAAGACCCTGCAACTTTACCAAATCATGCAGGAAAACCCGTTATTTAAATGAAATCATCTAATCCTGTACTGTGTAGAAACTCAAAGAGTAGAACTAGCAAATCGGGATAACAATCACCGTGGAGAGAATGGAGGTTGAATGGAAGCCGACTGGCATTGGCGTAATTGATGAGCGGTTGCCTTGATCGTTGATATACCGGACACACGAGGAGGAAATGATTGATGGTGAATGGGATGTCGCAGCGATGACAAGCGGAGGGGAGTGTGCTCGAAAAGATGGTAGTGGATGATTTTGGCGTGACCGATACGCAGTCTGGCGGCACTTACCTGAGGCGACTAACTTGATTAATTATCGGCTAGTGCTGAAAGTGATGAGCGTGTTGATCCCATTCGGATTGGAGGAATAGACGAAAATGTGAACTGATGACTTCAAGAATACCAGAAACGGGATAATGAAGATGGTTATGTTCCGGAAACATGGGAGTTTGTTTTGCTTCCTCGTCAGTAGCGTTGTGTCCACGAATATTTACGTGTCGAGGTATCCAGAGGAATATTACGTGAGTTTGTTGAGGAAGGGAGCAGAGCGTTCGTCGTGTGCATTTTAGAATTGGGTGGGATGAATTATGCAGAGTGATGAGAGCTTGTAACTACGGATGAGAATCGGTGCATATGACTATCCTTTGTATGATACCTTGCTTAATATGGAGTAGAGCTGCCAGAATTGCTGTTAGTTCAGCCGTATACACAGTATTGTAATTTGACGGCGGTTTGATTTGTGGTTATTATGATGCTCGAAGACATCCCCTGTGCGGCCATCGCGTCGGGAGCCGTCGATATGAAGGTGTGCTGGTCATGTTCTCCTTTGAACTCAGCAAACAGTGCATGCACTTCGGTTTCTGATACGTTTCGTTTTTTATGTTAAAACAGAAAGATGACGTTAGGTATAGGGTCGTCTCAAAAGGGTCGAGGACTGGGAGTTGGGCTGCACGGGATGTCCGAGAGATAAGCGTTCGCTGCGCTCGAATAACGCGAGTGCTGTGTCCTCAGAGCAAGCGAGAAGGACCTTCCCCAATATGGGGGGGGGGGGGGGGGCTACACGATGCGGAGTAAGTACCCCGTCAGACTAACATATGGAGCCCAGTCGGAGCACGGGGCTCCCTGAGCAAAGGAAAATAACCCAAGACCAGTGTACGGGAGTTAATGCCTCCGATCGAGAGCGCCCGGGCAGGTAAATAGAAAAGGCCTAGACAGGACTCGAGGGTCCTCCGCAAATGGGCTCACAGTGAATGGGCTCTATATCGATGTAAGGGGTCCCTGAGCATCGGGTGCCCCGATGCGTTTCTTAACATTGGCTCCAGCAACAGCACGGGGCCCTCCGAGCCAGTGGAAAGTACCCGATACCAACGTGGAGGGTCTCTGAACAACCGTGTGTACCCCGTCGCCTGAGACCCCGGCTATAGCGCATATATGCATATATATATATATATATATATATATATATATATATATATATATATACATATATATATATATATGTATATATTTAACCATTCGAGCGAATATGAGGAGTCCGTGGAGAGCCTTTCATATATCTAGAGTGCCGAGGTGAGTAATTAGATTGAAGGACCCTACTTTGGTAGCACCCTACATTCAAACAGAAAGTACCCAGGACCCATAAGGACAGCGTGGAAGGCTCCTCAGCAATCGGATTTACGCCACAAGGGAAAAAAGGGTTCGCAGAAACAACGCAGGTCTCTGTACACAATGAGCCTTAGAACATCTCAACCACCGCCCTCTCAATCAGTGAAGAGCTACTGGTGTCTGTTCGTGCGCATTTCACTTCGCTTGCGACTGTTCGTGGTTGCCTGGTAGCCCAAAGGCGTCCAATTTTGCTACCCTTTGTTATAACAAAATTGCGGCAGCTCGGTCGGCTATGGCTCCTTTCGGAGCTTATGGGCCCTTTGGCATGGCCCACGCTCTCTCTGGATCCGCCCCTGACCCCTATACGTGCTACTGTTACTCTCATCAGCAGCCGACGACAGGTAAAATGCCTCCCAACTCTTCTGTGGGTCGCGGAGAGACCAGCCAACAGTCAACTCCCGAAATTCTGTAGGAAGTGGCTAGGAATTATCTAGAAGAACCATGGGAAGTGGGAGCTTTATACATCGGCCATAGCAGCTGCCTGCTTATTGCGAAGCCCGTAGGACTTCCTCCATCGCAACCGCGAGGACCTGTTGCTCTTCGTACCGAGCAGGTCTTTCCCCATCGCTACTAGCGAGAAGTCTAGTTGAAGTAAAGCATATGTGACGCATTAAGTCGGTCGCGATGAAATTATCCCTTCAACTCATGAGCAAATTGCCAGTCGTCCTCAACACATTAAGCGAGGTAAATAGGTTGATTAAGTAATATGCACCTAACTGCGACGCGTCCTGCATTCCCGAATAAAAAGGCCGCACATTATTCATTGGTCTGTTTTTTTCCCGGATGCTGCTCAATGAAACTCATTAAGGGATGTCATGCAGGGGCTAGCACGCGACTCAAAACAACACCACGGCAGCACATTGCTATATTAGGTGGGCTGATTAGAACAATATAATACTAGCATGACAGAGGCTCACGAAATACAACGGGTCAGGAATAATGTGTGAATACGAATTTTAAAAGAATATTCTGACAAGCATTGCTTTCCTTAATTTACATTAAATCCCATGCAGGATAAAGAAGTACGGTGGGGCCAGAGACCTGAGCGGCCGAAAGGTCGGCGACTGCTCCGCCGAGCTTACATAAATAAAGAGACGTGGGCAACGCGCGGCCAGCCGTGGGTGTGCGCCAGGCCAGTCGAATGAAAATGCGAATCCGGATGAATGTCAAATGAACGAAGGTCGTCCTTTGACTAGGCTGGTGTGCCTTTCATCGATGCCTATCATTTCTTTATATCATTGGCGCCATTAATGGCAGCGGACCTATCATATCGGCCGCCCATCCTTGATTGCTCGGCGCACATGTCCGGGGTAATTGGCCGGGCCAAACGTTGCAACGAAGTTGCTCTCGCGCACCAATTTTTTTTTTAAAGTGGCCGCGGCGGATGCACACGCTGCGCCACAGAATTGAGAAATATATCGTGGTTATATATTGTGTAAATCCAGCTTTCTTTTGTTGTGGGACATGATAAGACTAATAGTGTTTTAGCAGCGCCTTCCCTTACTGTGAGCTGACAGATGTGGCGCAATTAAAACCATATACGGCGCAAACAGCGGTGCTTGATGTTAATGTAAAGCTGAAAGGGGTTAGTAATTTGGGTGAACGCGGAGGAACCCATTTATTATTGGTGTCCGGCACAAACAGGTGAGTTGTCGTGTTAGCAGTGGTCGTGGATGTGTAAAGCAGACACTGATACCAGAATTGTTGCTTTTGCCTTGGATTACGGTTCAAAAGAATGCAGACCCGCGCCGGAGCGTACAAATAATCCATCAAGTGTGCTTGATACGCGACGTCGGTGCCCTGAACCTCGTTAGATAGCCTTGCCCTGAACCTCGCGCTCGTGTGCGATAAGATCAGGCAAGGCCAAATTGCATTGAATTTTCAAGTTGTTACACATGAAAAATGTTTCCATGTTTGTTTGCCTGTAATTACCTTCTGATCATTACAATTCCCTGAAACTAAAACTGGCTCTCTTTTGCTAGCATTGGTGGTAACTGGGTGCAAAACTCCTGGTGCTCAGATTGCCAGTGTACATGCACTGATTTTGTGTGGTGTTGCTGATATGCCAGACATGTTTGGTAGCATGTGTATTCACGGCAGTGTGGTGTGCCAACAGTAATGTATGCTCCATTGAACCATTGAGGTTGCTAACTATTGCTCACTCATGACCAGGTATAGTTCTTTTGTTGGGATATATCTTGCCTGTTTGATGCAATATGTACACCAGTATGTGAGTAAGTTTTTGATCTGAGTATGACTTAACCAGATCACTATTTCTCAAAACTAATTTTCCATGAATCCTTAAGATAGATAACAATGAAATCAAAAGTGCCCTAGACAAACTCTAGTAAGCTTCACATACCTAGTATCTTAAATTCCAGACCTAAAAGAACATAACCTTAAGCCTGGCTTGCAGGTTTCTGAGATACACAAAAATATAGAGCCTACTTTGGGGCATTTTTGAGCAGTCAAAAAAATGATTTTAGGAGAACAATCCAAATATTTTTATTGGACAGATTTGTTTTTAACTACTTAAAATGGCCACTTGCAACTTAAACATGCAAGTAAACTTGTGTTAGACACCCATCTATTATGACTGTGCCATCTACATCCATTTGCAATAGGGTTGTGATGGTTGTAAGTGATTCATATAGCATAGTGCAGAATATGTAACATATTTTTGACATCTACTTTAGTACATGACTATCACTAGTATTCTTTGTTGTGCAAACGGGGTGGTTCGTAATGTTTCTATGTTACTCACATGCTATTTGTATTTTTCAGGTTTTCAACCATGGTTGACCAGAGAGGTAAGCGTTTTTATCATTTAAGCTTTGTCAAGCTTTAAAGGTGCATTGGTGGTTCATACCTTTAGGGTGTAAAGGGCATAAAACCCGCAGGGCAATGCTCTGTACCATGAAGGATAAACTGTTTCTGTATAAATAAACAGACATGGTGGCATTTCAGGTATGTCTGTCCATGCTCAGGCTCAGTGACTAAGACAAGAGGTGCCTTCTTCTACTTTTGTATGTGACACTTATCCCAAGATCAAGAAGACTCAGATTCAGGTGTTCATATCTTTTACTATGTAGATATAGCTTAGCAGCCAAAGCCACAGTTCAAAATGAGACCAGCTCAGTCCTAGCTCATCAATGCAAAATAAAATGATATTGACCCAAGTTTTTATGCCTGAGTTTGTGAGCTTCACACTTGGTAGCATATACATGATAAAATAAAGAAATCATTCCAAACTCACAGGTTATCAGGTCTGTGATATCTCCATTGTAACTACAGTCTATGCTGAGCCAGTCTCTGTGGCTCAGGGGCTCAGAGCTTTGGGGATCAACTCAACCCTCCATTCCCAGTTCTTTCCAGAGATGTTCTTCCAAATGTTAACTGAGTCATCTAAAATGCATCAATGCTGTGTTTTATGCAATTGAGAGACAAATTCTGAGCACAATTATTGGTGCACAGTTCATGCATATGTATCAAACACACCAAGCAATAATCAGATGACCTTGAAATGCAACAATATTCACACACCAAAATAAATCGTTGCTTTAAAAAAAGAGAAGAAGTGTTGATCATAGATCATTGAACATTGGCTCAACAATGCTCACAAAATTATTTAGTATTTGCAGTGTGCTGCTCCTTCATTTGTATGACAAATGCTTGGACCTTTCCAGATGCACTTGGTACATCATGGCACGACAGCACATGGATCCCTATTCTCAGTGCCAACAATGTCATGGACTACTTCGCGGAGCGCACAAATCCGTTTTACGACCGCACGTGCAACAATGAGGTTATCAAGATGCAGCGCATCAACCCAGACCACCTGCAGTAAGTTCTGGAGGCTGAGAGCATGGATAATCATTGATTGAAGACAAGAATGTGATTCTGCAAAGTTCTTGTCACCTAGTATTGCCTGACCATTGTAGCTTTGGCTAACATAGATGACCAATTGACCAGTAAGGTATTTGATGTTCCCAGGTCATCACATGCATGCCTGCTGGAGTCTGGTTGTCTGGTTCAGGGCCGCCACGCGCACACGTCACTCCCCGCCGGCCCGCCACTGTTCGTGCACTGACCGGTCGTCCCCCGCGTCTCGGACCCTGACCGCGCTGCCCCGCGCCTCGCCGCCAGTAACCTGGTGGGCCTGGAGTACACGCTGCTGCACGTGCAGGAGCCGATTCTGTACGTCATCCGTAAGGAGCACCGCCACTCGCCCAACCAGGTGACGCCGCTGGCCGACTACTACGTCATCGCCGGCAAGGTGTACCAGGTGCCTGACCTCGGCTCCGTCATCAACTCTCGACTGGTGGGTGGCAGCGCGCGCCGGCCGGGCCGCACGTGCCCGCACTGTCAGCCGATGTCGCAGAGCACCAGCCAAGGGACGTGCGAGGCGTTGGCCAGGCTGGTGTGGCAAGTGGGCTCCTATGTAACGGCTTAAAACACTACAGTCCTGTCGGGGTAAAAAGTCGGAGACAAACCATCGGTTGAATCAGAAATGCACGTCCCGAGTCGTGGGATAGAAGTGGATAAAAGCACAGAGTAGCAAGCCAAAAGAAGCAAGACGCACATCACAGCTTTTGGCGCTGTTTTGACATGTGTGTTACAGGGCTTTCATTCCTCGCTGTTACTGAGGTTGGGGATAGACAAGCTCTGCAAATGAATTGTATCGAAGTGACCAATAATGTTGCAGCTGGGATGTTTAATTTTGGTACCGCTCAACTGATGAAGTGTTAGACCAGCTGGAACAAGCCAAAGAGCGTCGTATCGCATGCTTTGAACACCTCTGGCATGTGCCCATGTACTTCGAAATCGTAAAAGGGAAATAGCAGGCTCCTCACGACTGCATTCGTTGAATGGTTAAGGGATGATGGTGGCGTCGAAAATCGGCAGACGCATACTGTGATACGGAGTGCAGAAGAAGATGGGCGTTTGGTCGACATGTACCCAACTGCCGCAGTCGCATGTTCATTGCTAGTCTTTTTGGTAATGTCACCAACTTGGCAGGTTCCGAACGTTCGTAAACGGAGCCGGAATCGTTGGTCATATCATCGTATGCAGTGAACGGCGAAACCCAGTGAATAACATAAGGGTGTACGTTATGCGGAGCTGTCGTTGGCTACAGACCGACACGATGTTCGTTGGTGTTTTCCAGACGTCGGCCATCAACCACCTCCAGGAGGCGTTTGAGGAGGCTCGCTCCTTTTCACGATACCACCCCTCCAAAGGCTACACGTTCGAGTTCAAATCACAGAACGGACAGGTAACACATTCACTTGTGCAGCGTCACATCAGTGTCACCAAGAGTGGTAAAGGAGTTTATGCGAGTTTTAGACATAATCTACATTACATTGAACACAATTTACTCCTTTTGGTCGTTGGCATGCAGTCTGCAGTGTGTTTGTGCTGTTATGGAAGCACTATATGGGAAATTGGCCTACTACTTTTCCCAGATCACTGGTTTGTGCTCTCATGGATCGTTATTACCTTCTGTTAAATTTTGTCTTTATTTTCTATCCACGCACTAAGCCTGGCTTAAGCCTTTGTGTGGCGTTGGCAAAACAGTGCCCCATCCATTAGACTTTGACAGACACGTGACTTTGAAGGACAAATACATGCCATTATCTAAGTAAGTCACCGCCAGCAATGTGATGTGTACGCTTGATTCCGCACGTTCCGCCCGGCGTGCAGCGAATCTCTCCACGCCACCCTCTGCTGTCCAGGAGCCGGAGACGAAGAAGCGGAAGAAGGAGACGGAGAAGGAGTTGGGCTCGGTGTTCCAGACGCAGCGTGTGGACATGCTGCTGGCGGACCTGGCGCGCCGCTTCCCGCCCAAGGTGCCGCAGCAGCCGCCCGCCGCAGCCGCCCGGTGAGCACCGCCGCCGGGACCCACTCAGTCAGTGTCCTGAGCACCGCGGCCGGAGCCCACCCCGCCCATGTTCTGAGCACCGCTGGCCGTGTCTGCGCCCGCTCCGCCCGTATCCTGAGCACCGTTGGCAGGACGCCGGCAGGGCACGTTCGTCCGCGGACCGTGCTGGCATCGGCTGAACTTCTTGCCCTCTCTGTCACGCTCACGTGGCCCTGTGCCGGGATACGGGCGACGTGACTGGGGTGCTGGTACGTCTGTCTACACACGGTGTATACCAGGGGATGGAGAGGGACTTACAGCAGCAAGGCAGAGCTCAGCTGGCGACTGAGACCTGGTCGCCCGCACTTACTGCCGGGGGTCTCGTGTAAACGTCCCTCACCTGCATGCAGGGATGCTGGTGGGGTAAGATCGCATGTCAAAGTCGCGTTGGTTAATTTGTTGTTGTTGGTTTGCTCATACCAGTCTTCTGAAGCTGTTTGAATGTATTTTGTCCCAGGGTTGGCCTTGTGCGCGTGCTGCCGGTCCCGGTCCCAGCGCTTGCAGCCATTGTAGCTTGTAAGCCTGTACAGACCACCCTTTATCGTTATCTTCTCTGGCCATCGATATCCCTCGGTCACTCCTATCGGGGGAGCGTATCGATGGATAGCGCCGCTCTGCGTGGGCGCCGCTCCAGCGGGGAGCGTCACTCCGCGGGGGCGACGGGCCCAGTTTTGCCATTCCACGCGACAAAGCCGTCCTACGCCCCCCAGACGCCGACGTCAAGGCGGAGCCGAAGCAGGAGAAGACCGAGTCGGTGACCAGCGTGCCGTCCCAGGCGTCCGAGGTCAAGGCCAAGGCGCCCCCGGAGAAGAAGCCGCGCCTCGGCTGACCCGGTCGGCCGGGCTTGACGTGACCTTGGTGGCCGCAGCGGGGCTGGTCGGACGCTGACTGGGTCGCCCGCCGGCTGTGGAGGGGCCCCGGTGCGTGTTGGTGGTCAGCTCAGTGAGGTGGGAGCAGGTATGCTCCAGCAAGTGGATGGCGTATTCCGAGTGTTTTTATACGTGTCTTCATTGTGGTCTGATCTGTAGCCGCCGGCTTGTGGGGAACAAAGTGTGTTAGTAATCTCCGAATTTTGTTGTCCATGAAGTGGAAAGCCTTTTCTCAATACGATGAACAATGTTAATACAACGGCACAACTACTAGCGCTTTTTATGCTGGTTTGGTAGTCATAAAAAATATGTTCCTTTGCGGCGGTATTCATCAGGTGGCAATTTATACCTGGCTCGTAATTCGTAGATGCATAAGCACACAGATCAAGTCCAGGTCTAACACATGTCATACGGGTCTCGTGTCCTTGGAAACCTGCACCTTTCTTTACAGCTTCTTGTATCAGGATAACGATTTGCTACTAGTACTTGGGGATGTACAAACAGGCTGAGTCCACCATATTAGTGCATTTCGGCAACATGATAGGCACCCAACTCCTAAGTCAGCTCCTCTCCATTGGGAAGCTTAAAACACCAGATCTCTGGAGTTTGTCGTTGAGCCACGTCAAACCCACTCAGCCCACCCACTCCGGCTCCTCGTTAAACGAAGTCGCGCCACTGGTACCGTCAATTGCGCTGCCTTGGTGGTGCATTTGGTGGTGCGCCGTGCCCGACAGCGAGTGTAGGACGCAGTAGATGCATAAGATGACAGGGTGGGTAGCCGGTGTGCGAAAAAGACTGGCCAATACGTCTTTTTCTTGCGTCGATTGGCAAGATATATTTGTCCAACGCATGAGCTTTTGGCCGCATGGTTTGCCGCCGTGTCCGCTGGCGCCCTGGGTGTGTGCGTGCGTCGCGATGCATCATAGCGAAGTAAAAAAAGCGGTGGCGGTGGGACGGCCGGCCCAACACACCGTTTGTGTTGTGGCCATGTCAGGGGCATGGCCAGCGGACCTTCACCCCTTGCGTCGACATCACATCACCGCTATCAGCTGAAAAGGGGTGTGTGTGGGGGGGGGGGGGGTCGATCACGCGGCTAATGGCCGTGTGCAGCACAGCCGACCTCGACTCAAAGTCTGTCGCCGGCAGGACTTTGTCAGGGGATTGAGAAACGATCGACAAGGCAGCTGATAACGAAAACAACGATGAACAACGATAACAAGGCTGGTAATGCCAAAACAAACTGATTAATCGACGGCAACCAATATGGCTGCGGACCCTAGCCATTGTGAATGTCTGTCGCTGGAATGAGCCCGAGTATGATGAGCCTATGAGCCCCCCCCCCCTCCGTGACCTTCGCCCCGCCGCTGACCAGAGCCGCGCGGACGTAGCGGCTGACCGTCGCCCAGTCGTGGTCTCGCCCTAGAGCCCTCCGGACTTTGACTGGACCTGGCGTGACGTCATCCGTCTCCGTGCGCCGCCGGCGGCTTCAGTGCTCCGCGGCCGGCCGTGTCGGGCCGACGGAGGCGGAGCAGGGGTTGGGCGCCGGCGTCTCGCGCGGCGACGCGGCGCAGTGATGGGCGTGAAGCGGACGATGGGTCTGCCGGGCCCAGTGGCTCTATTGTGCTTCCCCGTGTCTGTCGCGTACAGGACGCTGACCGGCTGCTTCGACACCGCCATGACGGTACGTGCGCAGGGCATAGCACGCGCGAACTGCTCGCTGTGCTCAGCTCTAGCAGCGCTGTGCTGGGCAGTGTCCGTCATTGGCGAAGTAGCGCGGTAAAGGGCTTTGCGCGCCGTCTTTGGTGCGTAATGCTTTCTGATTTTTGGACGAGATGTGAAGACACTTACGCAACGCTCCGCTGTTCCCCATGTCAAAAGAGAATCGGTATTCGTGAACGCACTTGTCAAGCATCCATTCCACAATTAGCACGCGCCCGGGTGGCCGGCTGGATACCCCTCGCTCGCTTGGGAGGGTCAATTTGACCCTCCTGAGATCTCGGGAACTAAGAAAGCTAGGGACACCGAACTTACAGGGTGTGTTGATCTGTACGTAAACTTACTTGGGTTAAGGTTTCAAGTTCCTAGGTCATGACCTCAGGGTCAAGTAAGGTCAAACAAGATCAATTCCCGGTTGGTCTCCAAAGTGCCCCCAGAACCTAGGTAACCGTTTCTAAGCAAATGGCCACATGCTCATTTAAGGTCAGTGACCTTGTTTGACCTTTTTAAGGTCATGGTGACCAAAACCATGCAAGAATGCTCTGAATTTTGCATTTGAATAAGCGACAAATACTACGCCAGGCAGTATGTTCCTGAAAACAAAATATTGACGTGGGCCATTTCAGGTCAATGACCTATTCTAGCCTCTAATATGTCTATGGAATATGTATAATGCGATTCCTGCCATCAATAAATTGGAAATTGGCACCAGAAACTATCCCATACAGAAAGCCTGATGGAAACAAAACAGGTTGGTTTCGACCTTCATCTGACCTTTATATCTGACCTTAAGCCGATGTAATTTGCTCATTCAACGGTTGTGTTGCCTAAGGAAGCACCTCAGAGATGTATGGCCTCGTCTAACACTCCGTTGTTGGATCGGATTGAAGGATTCCCTAGAAATTACATTCGCTGAAACCATGGCCTGACTTCGACCTGCGATAGGTCAGCGACCTTACAAGATACATCTAAATTTTTGATGACAAACGATCCGCTATTCAATTGTCTACAGCTATGTCTACAGCCATGTCGCTTTTGGCATTTCAGGAGCGCCATATGCACATTATCCCGCGAATACACGACATCTGTTAATCAAATCAGTAAGCCACTGTAAATGAGGACCTCAGTAAAGTTTACAGCTGTAATGGGATCAACGGGGTCTTCGTCGCCAGCAAAGATTTGCGTTTCAAGTTTCCTCGTTTTGTTTCCTTCGACAGAGACAGAACGCATTATTGCTGGTACATTGCCAAATTGCCGGCGTTTGGACCTGTCTTCCTTTGTTTAATCCCAGCATGCTAGATCTTATGCTGATCAGACTTATGGTTGCCATACAATTGGCATATTCTCAATGCCGGCGCCGCCGGCTGGTGAGGACGAGAGCGCGTCAGGTGCAGTTGTACTCTTTCAGTCTCGTGTGAATTGTGATAACTGCAATACTTCGTTGGATGAACCACATCTCCGGGATTAAGGCGATTGAGGTAAACGGTATTTTTAATGGGAAAACGTGAAAACGCGCCTTCCACGCGCGAAATTTGAGGGGACAAAATCTATTTGGTGGGAGGCATTTTGTGGGGGAGGAGGCATGCACTCACAGCCCCTCAGTGGCTACACCCATGGGAGGCACGACATTGCTCTCAGTGTTCCCTCGCTCGTCGCATTGCCCATCGTGCAGGACCAGAGCTTCACGTAATTAGCTGGGGCGGAGAGGGAGCGAGGGCCGGATATTACAAAAACGCTCGGGATATTTGGTGGCGAAGGCTTGCAACACATCTTGACGCTTGCATCTTTCCCCCAGAGATAGAAAGCTTAGCCTACGCTGCCTATTTTTGATAGGTACAATTTTTCTGTTTTGTATAGTTACACCAATTTATGACCAAGTTACGGATATGGCAAAATGATATGAGCTGTTGAGGCGGATCGCTGAGTTCTCAGGCTACCTGGCGCGGCTGAGACAAAATAATGCGCGCTTGCCTCAATAAATGGGTTTCGCGTCACCGTGCGCAAGTCGGGGCTGTGGATAAACCCAAAGTTCAGAAATTTATCTCAAAACAGAGTTTCTGGGAGGACCGTGTTCTGTGGACGAGCCCTCACACGCGGGCAAATGCCGTGTTATATCAGGTTGTGGTCATCGCGGCATTCAACAGGCGTGAGAAGTTGTAACACTGATATCAACTTCTACAAGTAGTTATCATTTTGAAAGGTTGTGTATCACACAAAGATGGACGAAGCGCTTCAGGAATGTTTCTCGAAACTGTCTGAAATGTGTGCATATCTCAGATCAGTAAGTGCAGCTGTTAGTGTGGCATAAGCTGTGGCATAATACAGAATGAAGCTGTGCATAGAAACACTCACCTTACTAAAGCATGCATTCCTTCTCATTCCTGTTCAAAACCAATATTCCCTTCACTTTGATTGAAGAGAGGAGTACAATGCTTGAAGCTGTGTGCAGCAGTTGATCTGCAATTGAGAAGTTGGGAAACACCATTAGATTGCTTCAAGTTCAAGACGTTGAGGCCTGTTGGTACATACAATGGATTATGTTGTCATTAAAAACATCCTTCAGAATTGAGAACATCAGTTTTTGCTTGGCACTATTCACCTGCTCTCTTGCTATTTGCCTCCTGATACACCCTGATGATGCTCTGCTCCAATAGCCTGCTCTCAAGGTCAGGTGATGCTCCTAGTGAAGGATGGAATATGTGAAGCACTACAGCACACTAAGCTTTTGAACACAAATTCTATGATTGATCTGAAATTCTACAGTAGGATGGTGGTGTCAGTGGTCATGCAATGTAGGAAGTGATGCAATGATTATTGATTAAAAAGGTTCAGAATGATTTTTGTTGTTTTAGTCATGGGATCAAGACATCAGAATGCATCTGTAGGGACATTGCATGCACAGTGTTAACTAAGTTGCTGGCAAATGATAAGGTATGGCCAGGGCCAAGAACTCTGTGAGGTAATCAAAGCCAAATCAAAGCCAAAAGGTAATCAAAAGCCAAAGAAACAGTTCTTGGTCCATTGGGCACACTGCAAATTGTTTTATTGTGTTATTGTAAAAGTGGGCATAACACTTGATTCATGGTGGAGAATTTCCAGTCAGGATATGTTAATGATCCACTTGTGCTAATGCAAGGTACAATGATGACACTGCAACACACCATGTAAGACAACATAACATAACCACCAAAGAAAACCACAAGGCTGCCAGAGATAAGAGACTAGGTAAACAGCAATCACCCTCAGCCAACTTGTGAGCTAGAAGTGCAAATTTCATCATTAGTCAGTAGTTTGGTATTGTAAATTAAGAGTGCATAATGCATTTCAAGTGTTGTAGGTGCAGTCTGTTTTTGTCATTGGTGGAGGCATGGACAACATTAAGTTTTTGTGCTGTAGCTCCTCTGCAAATAGTACCACAAACTCAGATTTCTTAGTATGTGTCTGCACATCCTCAGGATATTTTGTGTGTTGTGCAAGCACCTTGTAACTTTTGTCATTCAAGGTCAGGTCAAGACAGCATGCAATTATTCAACCTAGATCTGTTGATCTTTGCTTTGATCTTTACAAGATTCATCAACTATAGATGCATCAGGATCTGTAGGTTCACAACCATGTTTTACATTCATGCATGCATTTGTGCATGCCCACACTGCGACCTTGACCCAGGCTCGGCCCCACCAAAGTCTGACACTGATTGGCCAGAGACCCTAGTCACATGACCCGCGAGACCAGCAAGCTAGCGCGTAGCACCGGCGTTCGCGGAGCAGGCGGGATGAGCTGCGCAAAAGGTGGCGCGTGGCGCACGCACGTCGCCCACGACAGAGTGCACGGGTACCGTACAACACTCAGGTGTACCGTTACATACCGCGGACTTTTGGTCGCGGTAGCACAGAACACATTACTGAACATCGGCGCAAAACGATCGCGTTAGAGGGGTGATCTGTTGGCTTGATTCCTCTACAGCAATGTGTGGCGAGAAACCGGACCAACATGCTCCTCTCGCCCCCCCCCCCCCCTCCCGAATTGTGGACAAGTTTACGCGTATCTTTCGCAGAATGTTACACAAAGCGTAACTGGTGCAAATACGTTAACAATGCATGCAGCCATAAGCTATTGTGTGGTCCTCTGCTTACCACTCAGTGTGATATTGATAAACATACACACAGTTCTTCTCACTGCCAGACTCCATTTCAGACATATCCTGGCAAGATCGTAACCAAGTACGTGGGCAATATCAGCTCGTTCTTGGCCAAATGCATCGTCCTCTGGCTGATATGCACCATCCTGCTGATCTCGTCGGCGGTGCTGTACTTCACATTTCACTACAGCATGATGCCAACCATGCTGGTCAGCTTGCCCGTCCACTTCCAGTTCACGTGAGTTGTCCACATCTCTATGCTGCGGCAATAGAGCGTGCAGGAACCTGAACATGGGATAGTTGCTTCGGGTGTTAGTTGTGCCCGGGGTACGTGTATCGCGAAACACGGTAGATTACAAGAACGCCGGTAATGCTTTGCTACTTTGTGAGATTCTTTGGCTGTTCAGGTCCCTATTGTATGACTTATCAGGCCGTTAAAATGAAAATGTTTATTAGCCGAGGTGTGGGGAATTTGAATCGATGGAGATAGAGTACTAAGCCACTGTAGAATTATGTGTGTTGTGTGCATGCAGGATGAGTGCACACAAGTGCATACAAACCCTGCGTTCTGCTAGGTAGCTTTTCATTTCAGTCCATACTTCTCCAATCCATTCCGGGCATGTAAACTGGTAACGTTTCATTTCAGTCCATGCTTCTCCAAGCCATTCCGAGCATGTAAACTGGTAACGTTTCGTTTAAGCCCATGCTTCTCCAAGCCATTCCGAGCATGTAAACTGGTAACGTTTCATTTCAGCCCATGCCTCTCCAAGACATTCCGAGCATGTAAACTGGTAACGTTTCGTTTCAGCCCATGCTTCTCCAATCCAGAAAGCTGCGCTTATCCCAGAGCGCAGGTCTACCTGGTGGACGGCAGCGCCAACCCCCTGCTGTATCCGCACGTGCACTACACGCTGACACTGGAGATGGACATGCCGGAATCAGACGCCAACAAGAACGCCGGTAAAGCACAGCTCCGTCCGTGGGCCCTGAGGCCGCGTGGTGGCTGGTCTGGCAGCGGGCCAGAGCGCTGGCGTTTGGTGGCTGGACGCCGGGGTCAGTGACCTACACTGACCTGTGACGTGACCCGTGCCAGGTTCGGGCGCGGTGACCAGTGAGAGACCGACAGTATCGCGGCGGGTCATGTTTCGCCATCCGGCATGCCGTGTTCTGCCATCTGACCCGTTTTGCCCTGTCACCTGAGACTGTTCTCTGTCACTTGGGACACCACGCTCTGTCATCTGAGGCTCCGTGCTCTGTCACCCGGCACACCACGCTCTGTCATCTGAAGCTCCATGCTTTGTCATCCGGCACACCACGCTCTGTCATCTGAGGCTCCATGCTTTGTCATCCGGCACAATACGCTCTGCTATCTGAGGCTCCATGCTTTGTCGTCCGGCACACCACGCTCTGTCATCTGAGACTCCGTGCTCTGTAACGTGGCACACCACGCTCTGTCATCTGAGACTCCGTGCTCTGTCACGTGACACACCACGCTCTGTCATCTGAGACTCTGTGCTCTGTCACCTGGCACACCACGCTCCGTCTACTGACCCAAGGCTGGTGCCCAACGCCCTGACGTGCCGCTCGGCGCCAGCAGGCATGTTCATGGCGCAGCTGAACCTGACCAGCTTCTCGGGTCGGCTGGTGGGCTCGTCGTCGCGCGCCAACCTCCTGCACTACCGGTCGCGGCTGCACCGCGCCCTGCGCACCTTCCTCATCATGCCGCTGCTGTTCACCGACTACTCCCGCGAGCAGCAGACGGTTGCCACCGAGCTGTTCTCGGCGTACTTGGTGCATGAGGTGAGAGCTCGAATGTCGCCCGTGCTTGTCGCTTCACTCGGTGTTGTGCCTTGAAGTCGTTTCGGTTATTTCCTTCCTGCTTGCCTCAAATGTGGTGTTTTTTGGTGGTGATTGTTGTGCTCGGCTTGAGGGGTGTTGTGAAATGCTGACTGAAAGCTGTTCTGCACGTCATAGAACTATCAAGCGTAGAACAATAATTTTATGTGCACACCAATGTGGTTTTGAATTTGTGGGATTGTGTTTTGCGATCGAAAACTAGTTATGCTTTCACAAAGAATTACAGCTTGTCTTATTCTTTCTGTTGTCGGATTTTTCAGTTCTATGGAAGCGTTTGCTCATCCAATTTGCGACCAGTATAACCCTTAGTTGCAGCGAAAAAAGGACTCCTTTTCATGGGATTTTGAAAACAGAACTGCCCTTTCAGTAGCGTTTTCCCCGGTCGCTTCAATGCGTATTCGCCCTGCAATTATCTTCTCATAAGCAACTAAATTAAACACAATGCTTCTCAGATTATTGTTGAGCGTCACATTACCGGAAACTCCGACCTGTCATCACAGTTGTAACCATCTGAGAGCGTTTGTTGTTCTCGCCGTTAGCTTTGAATTAAAACGCATGAGTGCGCGACGAACCGGGCCGTTCCCTGTCCGCACCGGGCCGCTGTAAGTCGTGCGGCGGGACGTGAGCCAACCTCCGCGTGTGCCACGCGAGACCACCGTCCGGCCAACGGACCGGCGCGTCGTGGCGCCGGTGTGCGTGTCCACCTGACGCCCGGGCCCGGCTGTGTCCGCAGGAGCACCCGCCAACCAGCGCCCAGCTGGAGGTGCGCTCTCACGCCGTGCAGCTGTACGCGGCGCGGCTGCGCGTGCACGCGCGCCTCACCGGCCTGCGCCGGCTCATGTACCACCACCCGCTGCTGAGCGGCCTCGTCGGCACGCTCGCCATCTTCTGCAGTGTGTCGCTGGTCTTCCTGCTGCTCTGGCTGCGGAATACGGAACTACCCCAGACGGTGAGTGGCGGCGCGGGCAGGGTCTGTCCCGCGCGGGCAGGGTCTGTTCCGCGGGGGCAGAGTCTGTCCCGCGGGGGCAGGGTCTGTTCCGCGGGGGCAGAGTCTGTCCCGCGGGGGCAGGGTCTGTCCCGCGCGTGTAGTGTCTGTCCCGCGCGGGCAGTGTCTGTCCCGCGGGGGCAGGGTCTGTCCCACAGGGGCAGGGTCTGTCCCGCGGAGGCAGTGTCTGTCCCGCGGGGGCAGGGTCTGTCCCACAGGGGCAGGGTCTGTTCCGCGGAGGCAGTGTCTGTCCCGCGGGGGCAGAGTCTGTCCCACAGGGGCAGGGTCTGTCCCGCGCGGGCAGGGTCTGTCCCGCGCGGGCGGGGTCTGTCCCGCGGGGCAGAGTCTGTCTCGCGGGGGTAGAGTCTGTCCCGCGTGGGCAGGGTCTGTCCCACGCGGGATGGGGTCCGCCTTCTGCGCAGTTCGGCGGATTGCGTGCAAGGCTGAGGTCCAGTGAGCCCAGCATGGTGTCGCGGTTGGAATTTCGAAGGTTTATGGTTGCTGTGCATCCGTTATCAATGCTGCAGTGTAGCTTTCGTCTTCACCTGGAAACCGCAGAAGGTGTGACGTGTGGCCTGTCCCCTGACCTCGACCTGGTGCGGTGTGGCCTGTCCCGTGACCTCTGACCTAGTGCGGTGTGGCCTGTCCCGTGACCTCGGACAGAATGTGATAGGACCTGTCCCATGACCTCCGACCGGATGCGGTGTGGCCTGTCCCATGACCTCTGACCGGGTGCGGTGTGGCCTGTCCCGTGACCTCTGACCGGGTGTGATGTGGCCTGTTCCGTGACCTCTGATCGGGTGTGGTGTGACCTGTCCCGTGACCTCTGACCGGGTGTGATGTGGCCTGTTCCGTGACATCTGATCGGGTGTGGTGTGACCTGTCCCGTGACCTCTGATCGGGTGTGGTGTGACCTGTCCCGTGACCTTTGATCGGGTGTGGTGTGGCCTGTCCCCAGCTGGCGCGGCTTCGGCGGGCCCGGTCCAGCCCGGCGGCGGTGGACGCCTCACTAGCGGCAGGTACGCACCTCGTTCCCGTAAGATGGGCACCGTACGACCAACCGACAGCACGCTGGGAAGCATCGGCTTTGTAATCTTATTCTTGCATTTTACGATCTTCTACATTCAGAAGTGGAAAGCACTTCAGCCAGGACAAAAGGGGACAGTGAAACTTTTTGGCGCTTTTTGGGTAATCGCACATGGACGTCACCCGGCAAGATACCCAGTGGAAGTCAGGTTTGATGTCAAGTTTAGGCACGGTGTCGTGTGTGAAACGATTTGATCATGTGGGGGCTGGAGATGATGACAGGTCAACAAATGCTCACCTTTATTGACCCGACGTTCTCACAAACTATAGTGTCGAAGGAATCCTTTAGACAACGAGGGGTGCTTTGCATCCGTAGGCACAAACTTTACACCGCAGGCGTAAGCGAAGTAACGCGCAAACATGTGCCACCATATGGCCATTTTTATATCGTATAGACTTAAAATTGAACATGACGGTGGCAAGGGTGAAGAGGATCGGTACAAAGAAAAGACTCAAATCACTGTCGTGCCTGGTGATTCGAAAAGGAGAAAAAGGAAGATAGGCCGCCAGTGTCCCGGTTTTTTTTCAAAAGTCTGACGTTCAGAAAGCTACGCTGCGTAGCTTTGATTGGTGAATATTGTAATGTGGTGTAATGGCACTACATAGATGTCGGCATAAATTTAATTCAAGACGTCCAAATTGCAAGGTTTGACATTGGGTGAAATCCGTTTACAGTAACAAGGAATGCGTTTTGGTATGTGCTTTCGACAGCGCCACCAAGCCGTGTAGTAATTTGTGCTATTAGCATGTCCGCGGACAATTTGTGTCTTTACCATGCAAATGCTCTCAGAAGGCACCCGACAGTTTGGCACCAGTGGTCGTAATTACTAGTATTAACCGGTATTGACCGATATTTTGGTGCACAGATGTGGGCGGAACAGACGAAAAATCGTCCTCATCAAAGAAGTCGTCTGAACTGGACAAAGGTCAGGCGCCAGACAATGAAGCCCCAGAACTGATTTACTGTCCCGACGGTGCTGCCACTGTGGAGGAGCATACGAAAACTTTGGAGTGTGACGGCCGCCGTGAGATGTCGCCGCGGACGGTTGTGGCCAGTGCTTCAGCGACGGCTCCGGAGCCGGACGAGGGTCCCAGACTGCGTGTTCTCAGTGGACCGACCCGATGATGAGCGGGCAGGTGCGGCCCGGGGCGGTGAGGGTACAGACTGCAGCATGCCTAGGGCCGCTGGCTCGAGCGCCGTGGGCTGCCCCCGAGTCGACGGCCGGCGGCCAGTGAGCCTGCGTGAGTTAGACGCCCTGGCGCTCTGAGGTGCCAGCGGCGAGGCCGCCACCCGTGCATTGACAAGGCGTGGCTATGAGCAGCACCCAGCATACCGTACAGTCCGCTGCAGTTACGAACATACCATGCAATCGTAACGCTAATACCCAAAGCGGCACCATCAAAATATAATGCCCGCCGTCAACTGCCAAAAAACTACCAAAAATTGCAGTATGCAGAGCGGTTGCGCTTGCGGACTCAGCACACCTGCCTGGAGATTTGCCGCAAAACGTTCGCATGTTTGAAATTTGGATGTTCGAAGTTAACATTTGCCACAGTGTCCAAATTTGTGTGGGAACTGAGCACGTAAGCTGAAAATTACGTCTCAATGTGGACTTGGCCATCGCTGGTGCCCTCCTTTCTATGGGATGCTCCCATGCTCTGTAGGCTAAATTGTCATTTGTGAATGAAACTCTCTGTCTGTATCCATTGGTCGTGCAGCACATGTTAGCCATCCGCGGTCTCCATCTAGGTGTACCTTGAATTGACACTAATTGGTCATCCCCCGGCCCCTGCGGCTGTGATCAGCCTTGTACACAAGACCCGGCTAGGCTGTCGGGTTTTGCGCCGGACACTCACCAGGTCACGCGATCTCGGTACGTCACCCGTAGGCTCCGTTCGCTCCGTGCACGGCACGTGGGTATTGACTGTCGACCCACAGACCCACAGACCGTGGGTATCGACCCACAAACGTGACTCACAGCTCGGGTCACATATTTCCAAGCGACGTGAAATGCCACTGTGAGGGCCTGCCCGTCGAGAAAAAAGCTGCACATGAGACCCAAATTTAAGTGTTGCGGTAATCCGTCGCACTTACTGAGTGTACCACTGAGTGTATTACCCCCCTCCCTCCCCCCTCCCTCCCCCTGCGAGTGGGGCGGGGCCAACGTGACTGTTGGCCGCGCTCCATCGGCTGGAGCTGTAGCGGGCGTCCGCTCTACGCTGGTCGCTGCCCGTGCGTGATGTTTGACCCCGTCTGCCTCCAGACGATGCTGTGGAGGAGCTGGAGCCGACGGCCGGCCGCGGTTGGTCGTCCCTGCTCGTGCCCCGCCCCCTGGTCTCCCCCGGCTGGCTCTTCGGGCGGCAGTCTCCAAAGCAGGAGTGACGATGGCGGCTCAGAGATGGCGCTGGCGTCTGATGAGGGACTGATATTTGCTCCAGTTCGTGACAGGATTGATGATCGGGGACTGCTGTTGCGACACTTGGCGTGTTGACATGACAGGGATTTTGTGCAGCCAATATCACTAGTGATAAGTGGAAGCTGCAGTTCTATCCTACATTGTTCATATGTGTTCTGCAGCATATGTCTCTGTGGAATCAATTTTCATGTGATGCTCATGCCAGGTATGCATGTATGTCTGGACAACTTGCCACTGGGGTTGTAGTGATGATCAAATTACCATTTGATTTGATGTGGGCCTTTAGCTCTTGTCAATATTCTGTTCATGCTGTGACACTGTGGCAGATGGAGTTGTTGTCATGGAAACAGTTGTGGTACAACTGATGGAGAAGGGACAGGAGTCGGTGTGATATATGGTGCAACTGTGGTCATTGTGTGAGACTGGCAATCACCTATATTGTGTGGATGACCGAATACATTGTATGGAAACACCGAGCTAGAGCTGGTACTGGAAGTCAACTTTGAGCCATACATGGTGAAGAAGCAGCATTAGGAAAGCATGCAACGGGCGCGGGAATTAGTCGGATGTGTGCGTGAGGACGTTGGAAAGGGGGGGGGGGGGGGGGGGGACATGACGTTCCTACTCGTCAAAAGCTAGTTGCAGTACGAAGGTGCATGAAAAGGAATGGCTTCACGTGGAGGGACTTGGTTGTTCCCGACTCTTTGAGATGCTACTGCTTTGTATGAAAAACCTCCCAGAAAACAAAGTATGCTGGCGTCCGTTATACGGTGTAAGACGACCAAAAGGTTTGGAAGATTGCCGTGGGTTTGCGAAGACCTTGTACGCTGTGCAACCTCGCCACGTTTGGGAAGACATTTCCACCGTGCGTGTGTTACGGGAATTATCAAGAGCCGATGGCTGCTAAAAAACAGGTGTTTCCATAGTTCCTTGAAAGTGAAGAAGTCAGGCAGCGAGGCTTTATGCAACGCTGCGCGGCCAGAAACGCGCCTTTTCAGCAACGCTGGCAGGGCCAGGCGAGATAGCTCGAGGCGAGAAAATTCCAACACCTGATTTAAAACTTTTACGCTAGGTAGGCTATCGAATTTTTTGATAAGGCATCGCTTTACCACATAATTACCGAAGTTTTCCGAAAGGCTTTCATGAAATGAAAAAATAAGAGCTTGGTCCAGTATGGTCCCGTCTCAGCATGAAAGCTTATAATATCACTGCCTCGTGCTACTTCCCCCGCTTCAACACGCTGAGCGCGATTCTGGCGCGACCGTCCTTCGTAGCACACGCTGCGGCATAGTTGGTGGGGGGATCTGGGCTTTCGGGTTTCGTGTGTAAAATCAGTAATAATGAGTACCAATACCGAGTGCTGTGCCGCTTATTCAGATGACTGCAAGCTTTTGGCGTACTCCAGTCCCGACGGGCGACTTCAAATATGGGATACGGATGCTGGTACATTGAAGCAAGAGTACGTCCCCAGCTCGCACTTGTCAGCGGCAGCCACGTGTCTATCATGGCGCGCACAGGTGGGCTACATTATTTTGTTTTTGCACGGGTTTTGCTTGTTGGAATGCTCATGCTTTTTAGAGATCATGATAGACTAAGATGTGGTTTGGGCTAGTTATCCCATTTGAATATCTTTATCTCTGGCAGAAAGTGATATTAATGAGATGCATGGTCATGTGTAGTTTAAGTAGTAGGTGATTTGAACATCATTCAGATTTGTTATACAATTTACAAGGTAATGTAGTCATACCATACTGTGATCATGACCTTGCTGTGAAGATTCAGACTGAACCCATTACTGCAGTTTGCAGAGAAGTTGTGATGGAAGGTTTTGATGGGGCAAATGTAGTTAGTCTTGGACATTTTATGGTGCCGTGAATGCATGGTGGGGAATATTTTTTGCAATGGAAGATTTCAAAGCAACTGTCTAGAAATCTCACCTGCTGACCAAATCTGCTGACTGAATCACAAGTTTTTAACAGCCAGGGGCTGGCCTACCTATCATCCTGACAGGGATGAGAGACATGGCTAGAAATGAAACCCCTGTCTGTGGTTTCCTTGAAATAGAGTATGTCTTCTGCCACTGGCATTAATAATGAAAATCACACTGGATGAAATCACCAAGTTTGTCATATGAACGCTCAATATGCTGGTGAAGGCGCCCGAAAGGCCCAATTACAACTTCTGTTACTATCAAGTGTAATGCAGAACCATTGCAAGACATTTATTAGAGTTTTTATTAAAAGTGCTGGTATTTAAAAACTACACTCCTATGTTTAAATGCACCAGGAAGAGTCACCAGTGATCCAATTGAATGAGGACCATGGTAGCAGTATAAGGTATATGCTTGCCTCTGTTGTATTATGCAGGCACTTACTATATATGTATTTGGATGTTTTTTTATCTTTGTGGACCATATTGTCATAGGCCTAGTTGCAGACACAAGGTTTTCACTGATAACATCAAAATGAACTACTTAAAAACTGAATGACACTGCTCTATGTAATCCACATGCTGTTGGATCCTCCTGCCAGTTATTGATTAGATGCATAACATAGCTCAGTCTAAGGGCATAAGACTAAGCCACAAGAAATATTTGGTGGCTTTTCTTGAAAGATTATTTTATGAATTCCTTCACTCATGATTGGGATTCATGATTCCCGATCCTTCACATCGTTCAGTTTGCTTCATAAACTGATTGATGTTCAGCAATTGCATTCTCATCATAAGTACAGCATCCTTGTTAACTCTGAAAGACAACACCAGCACATCTACCACACCATTTTTAAGGCTGATAGCCTTCCATATAATTTTATCAGTACAGCTATGTGCTGCATCCCAGAGGCTGTCATGAAGTTGTTTTGCTCATGTTAGGATGATTTTGAGATGGTGCTGTGGCATTTGTTATTGTGGTTTATAAGAAGGCATCTGCTTTGTTTAGTTTGCATGCAGAAAATTTTGCAGGAAAGCATGTAACAAACTTGAGAAGCATTGGGTATGCACAGTAGCTCACATTTTTCAACCAGGTTTGGATGGCATTCAGGGTTTGTTGCAATGGAACACTGTTTCTTATGTGTTGACTTCTATGCCCAATTTTGTTTTACATTTTAAGAGCTGCCATAGAACATTTACTTTCTATTTAATTTTCCACACTGCCATCAACTACTTGTTGATCAACCATGGCTGGGTCCCCTGCCTCTCTCCCCATGACTTTTGATGTCCCTTAGCCCTCAGCACTGGGTGCTGTCTCCCCACTGCTGGCCCATATTGACACCACTCTGTGGGCAGACGGCGGCGCCGCGCCACAGGAAGCAGCGCAGCCGGTCGGCCGGCGGCGGCGGCGACGGCCCGCTGCTGGCGCTCGGCACGCCGGCCGGCTCTGTGCTCGTCTACAGCGTGGTGGCGGGCGACCTGCAGACCGAGCTGAGCGGCCAGCACGCCGGCGCCGTCCACTGTCTGGCCTGGGACGCCGCCGGCGGGCACGTGTTCAGCGGCGGCGCCGACGCGCACGCCCTGCAGTGGGCCGTCGGCAAGGGCAGGGTCAAATGGTGAGCACGACAGCGCTGTACTCCTCCCCCCCCCCCTCCCGCCACCACCTGTTGAGGGTACCGGGGTGATGTCGGTCGGGAATACGCGGGTCTTCTGCTCGAGCCCTTCCGCAGGGGCTGTGGAGTGGAATATTGTTTGTGGAATTAAGGTTATTATTGCAGTACCATACCCGTGACCTGCCTTTACTTCATTCCTTTGTAGCTGTTTGTGCTGCAGCCCAGCGTCATGTGGTGCTACCTTCCATAAACAGTGATACCATACCCCTCCCCCTGCCTCTGCTCTTGAGGCGTCATGCACCAACCAAGGCACGGTGACCAACTGGGCGCACCGTCTCTGCGGCGCCGCTCTAAGCGGCCTCTGTGCCCGCGTGCCCCCAGCAAACTGAAGGCGGGTAAGACGGCCGTGCACAGCGTGTGCCCGCTGCCGGACGGCAGCTCGCTGCTGACGGCCAGCCGCACCATCACCTGGTGGGAGCTGGCCTCGGGCGCTCAGCTGCGCACGTACGCTGGCCACCCGGGCGAGGTCACCTGTCTCCGGCACGTGCCGCTGCCCGACCTGGACGGCGAGGGCGGCTACTTCATCAGCGCCGCCGCCGGCGGCCGCGTCGTCAGCGCCTGGTGAGACGGCAGGCTGGGGTGCCGCGCGACGGGACGGGACGGGACGGGACGGGACGGGACGGGACGGGACGGGACGGGACGGGACGGGACGGGACGGGACGGGACGGGACGGGCCGGGACGGGACGGGCCGGGACGGGCCGGGACGGGCCGGGACGGGACGGGACGGGACGGGACGGGACGGGACGGGACGGGACGGGACGGGACGGGACGGGACGGGACGGGACGGGACGGGACGGGACGGGGTGGGGTGAGGAAGGCGACAGCTCTGAGGAGGCCCATGGGGAGCCGCTGATGTATTGAGCGTCCGCTGCTCATTAATCTGGATATGTGCTCGGTGAGTCAGGAATGATATCTCCAATCCAGTGCGATTGTTATAAGTATGGATACGCAGCATTACATGTCACAGATAAATGCAGTGAATTTCATCTTCCGACGATTCGACCCAGTGCTGCTGCTGGCCCCCGGGCCGCCATTAACGACGGTAACCACGGCCACACCTCCCCGCGGCCGTTCTGAGTCGTCGGCGACCCTGACCCCGCTGCGACGCCGGCTCGCTCCGGCAGGCAGCTGACGCGCGACGAGACGCACCAGGCGGCGTCCGTGTCGTTCGCGCTGCCCTCGGAGGCGCGCGACGTGCGCGTGCGCGCCGAGGCGGCCGACGGCGCCGTGCTGGTGACGGCCGTCACCACCGACGGTCTGCTGCACGTGTTCGAGCGACACCTGAACGGGTGGGTGTGGCGCCGCTGTGGCCGGCTGTAGGGTCACGCGATGGTGGTGAGGAGAGAGGGTAGAATTTTGCGGTCTGGGTGTCGGCCGTTGTGGGAAAGGTTGGGTTCTAGTGATTGAAGTGTTATGGCGTACCTTTGCTGTTGTGTAGTGTGGGCCGCTGGCCTGAGTCGTAGTGCGTGTGGTGCCATGCCGAACACGGCGTCGAGTGGTGCCAGGGCTGTCAGGCCGCAGTGTGCTGTCTCACCGTGACCCATCCGTGGCCTGTCGCGTTACCTGTTGCCCATGACCTGTTGTCTGTGACCTGAACACGATCCGCTGACGCTGACCGGAGGCCGTCGTGTCGGGCAGGGTGCGCAAGAAGCCGGTGCGACCCAAACTGACGGTGCGCGTGGCGACGGAGGGCGCCGCGCCGCGCCAGCTGCCCGTGCTGGCGGCCCGGCCCGGCGCCGAGCAGCCGGCGCGGCTGCACCTCTGCCACGGCTCCTTCCTGCGGCCCACCTTCGAGCGGCTGGTGAGCGCGGGCATCGGGCGCGTCCGGGTCGGCCAGCCGCCGGGCGGACCAGGGCGGGGCTGACTGCTGGCCGGGACAGCGGCGGACTGCTCTCCCGGGCAGGACGACCGGTGTGCGGGGCTGCCGACGACCGGGGCAGCGGCGGACTGCTCTCCCGGGCAGGGCGACCGGTGTGCGGGGCTGCCGACGGCCGGGGCAGCGGCGGACTGCTCTCCCGGGCAGGACAGCCGGTGTGCGGGGCTGCCGACGGCCGGCGCAGCGGCGGACTGCTTTCCCGGTCAGGACGGCCGGTGTGCGGGGCTGCCGACGGCCGGCGCAGCGGCGGACTGCTTTCCCGGGCAGGACGACCGGTGTGCGGGGCTGCCGACTGCCGGGGCAGCGGCGGACTGCTCTCCCGGGCAGGGCGACCGGTGTGCGGGGCTGCCGACGGCCGGTGCAGCGGCGGACTGCTCTCCCGGGCAGGGCGACCGGTGTGCGGGGCTGCCGACGGCCGGGGCAGCGGCGGACTGCTCTCCCGGGCAGGACGGCCAGTGTGCGGGGCTGCCGACGACCGGGGCAGCGGCGGACTGCTCTCCCGGGCAGGACGGCCAGTGTGCGGGGCTGCCGACTGCCGGGGCAGCGGCGGACTGCTCTCCCGGGCAGGACGGCCAGTGTGCGGGGCTGCCGACTGCCGGCTAAGAGTCCGCGGACGGGCTGAAGTACGGACTGAGGCGCATTGGGGCGGCATCGCGTTACGGTGGTTGTGATGCGGGCCTGCGTGTGCGTGTTCTGGCCGCGCTCTTAGTCCTGCGGGTGTCGTTTACCACGCTGCGCTGGCAGTGTCTGCGCCGCGAACGCCGCCGCCGAATCCCGTCCCCACTGACCCCCGCGGACCCCCGCTGACCCCTGCTGACCCCTGCTGACCCTGCTCTCGCCCGGGCAGCCCTACCACACCGACGAGCCGACCCTGTGCCGGGTGCGGGCCGACCCGGCGGGAGCCGCCGCCGCCGCCGCCTCGGCCTCGTCCGTGACGCGCGTCAAGACGCCGGCGGCGGATGGCGCAGCGGCGCGCCAGCTGGCCGCCGGCCACCTCTCCGCCGGCAGGAAACGGCGGGCGGCCGCGGCCGGCGACGCCGCCGGCTCCTCGCCAGCCCAACTACCCATGGAGCAGCGGCTGGGCGCGCTGGTGGCACCACCCGCTGGCGGTGCGCTGGCGGCTCCTTCGGCGGCCAACATGGCGCAGCTGCTGGTCCAGGTACGCAGCGCGGTGTGTGGAGTTTCTGGTGTGAGCTTAGGAGGGGGAGGAGGAGGGGGGGGGGGGGGGGGTTCGTGCGGTGCGAGCGGGGATGGAAATACAGGAGACGCGGAGCATCTTAAATTCTATGCTGCCAGATTGTTTTGGCCCTTCAGGAGTGTGCATAGTGCTGGATAACCAAGAAATGCGTTTGGTATTCAGTGGTAAGGGATTGTATGTGGTTTCGCGGAGTTCATAGACGCTCATAGATGTTCACAGATGTGGCACGGTTGTTGGAAATTGGTGAGGTTAAAGCGGTTGCAGAATCTAGCGAACCGCGCATAGCCACCATGTAATTGCCGCCGCTGCTGTCGTTCTCACAACCCGTCGCCGCTGCCGCCCCTGGCGCCGCTTGACGATCGCCCCCCGCCGGCCGCCGCAGGGCCTGGCCAGCAAGGACCGCACCATGCTGCGGACGGTGCTGCAAACCGAGGAGGCCGACGTGATCCGCACCACGGTGCAGGCACTGCCCGTGGACGCCGTGCTGCCGCTCATCGACAGACTCGGCTACATGCTGCGCTTCGCCGACCAGTGAGTCGACGGCCGGGGCTGAGGCTGAGGCTGAGGCTGAGGCTGAGGCTGAGGCTGAGGCTGAGGCTGAGGCTGAGGCTGAGGCTGAAGCTGACGCTGAGGCTGAGACAGACTGAGGCTGAGGCTGAGGCTGAGACTGAGGCTGAGGCTGAGGCTGAGGCTGAGGCTGAGGCTGAGGCTGAGGCTGAGGCTGGAGCTGAAGCTGAGGCGAGGCTGAGGCTGAGATTGAGGCTGAGGCTGAGATTGAGGCTGGGGCTGAGGCTGAGGCTGGAGCTGGAGCTGGAGCTGGAGCTGGAGCTGGAGCTGGAGCTGAAGCTGAAGCTGAGGCGAGGCTGAAGCTGAGGCTGAGGTTGAGGTTGAGGTTGAGGCTGAGGCTGAGGCTGAGGCCGAGGCTGAGGCCGGAGCTGAAGCTGAAGCTGAGGCCAAGGCTAAGCTTTGGGGGGGGGGGCGTTTTCATTCGGATTTTACGGCTGAGGTAGGACTGGTCTACACATGACTGACCACTGATATTTGTTCATGTATTGTGTGAACAAACATATAGTATGGATGATCATAATATGATGAACTACAGCATCGTCACGTGGAATCATGCTCTCCGACATCACCACAGAAGACTGCACCGTTTACGTTTTCTAATGTTAAGTTTTGTAAGAATGCTCAGATTATCTGTTTCGGTGCTGATTTGGCCAACACCTCATCTGCGTGCCCCCCGTTCCTCGCTAGTGGACGTTATAAGCTGCACCATCGCAAGCTCCCCTGCCCGCTTGTCTGTGGGCAAGGCGCTGCGCTCAGGCGTGTTGTCTGCGTGTCTGGGTGTGCGGGCTACTGACCCGTGCCGGCCCGGCGCCGCGTGCAGGAGTTTCTCCGGCCTCAAGTGGCTGCGGGCGGTGATGGAGCGACACTCGTCCTTCCTGCTGACCCAGAGTGACCTGGACTCGCTGCTGGCGCCCGTCTACAGCAGCGTACAGGTGAAAGCCGCTCTCGGCCGTCCCCCAGAGGCGTCGTGGGTCCCGGGGGTCGTGCGACCCGTGGCGATGGCCTCGGAGGTCCTGCCCCCTCCGAGACCGGGTCGGGTCTCCCCGCTGAGCGCGGCAGCGTTCGTAAAGCCTCAGTCGTTCTGTCGCTGGCGGCTTCAAACCGCTGCTACAGTGTCGAGCCCGCGGTGTTTGGGCTGTCGTCGCCGCTGACGCAGCCCGCACTGAACCGGGGGCTACACTACTGCAGAAGCCAACTGATGTGTCGGACCCAGTGACTATCTTCGCCCGCGAGCATGACACCATTGTTTTGGGTTGGGTTTGCACTAAGTTGCGTTGCCAGTTGGGATTGTATGCGGCGGTGTCGCTGTGTTTCACTGTGTGCCAGCTTTGCGAGTGGGACAAAGTCATCAGAAATAGCCCCGCAACAAAGGGGCCCTCTCGGCACGTGTCGCTCGAAAACAAGAATGTCCGATGCACTAGCGCCGCTGCGGTCCGTCTGCGTGCGCCAGTGCCGCCAGCGTGTCCGTGCGTCTGACCGACCAGCCTCGCGCCTGCGCGACAGGTACGGCTGCGCTCCTACCCGCGCCTGCTGCAGCTGCGCGGCCGGCTACAGCTGATCGCCGGCCAGATGGCGGCGCGGCAGCGGCAGGCGGCCGAGCGGGCCGGCGCGGCCGCCGACCAGCCGCCGCTGCTCGCCTACCAGGACGGTGAGGCGCCGACGGGGCCGACCGGACCCGACGTGGAGGGGGGGGGGGGGGGGGGGCTGGGACAGAGTGGAAAACAGGGACCGGACCGGGCCGAACCAGACTACTGGACGTGGGGGGGGGGGGGCTGGGACAGAGTGGAAAACAGGCACCGGACCGGCCGAACCGAACTACTGGACGTGGGGGGGGGGGGAGGGGGGGGGGGGGACTGGGACAGAGTGGAAAACAGGCACCGGACCGGCCGAACCGAACTACTGGACGGACCAGGCATTGTCAGTTCATTCATTGATGCATGGCATTCAGTGTTGTGTATTCACTGGTCACTTTACACATTTTCTCAAGTGTTTCGCTGTTTGTGTTCTTGCTGCTGTGTTCTGTGCTTCCCGGGATTCCCACGCGTAAGCTGTCTACTCCCATCGTGTGTCGGCGTCCACGCTCCTCTGATGCGTTACGATATCGACGCGCCCTGTCCGTCAGACTCGTCGGACGACGACGGTGACCTGCTCGGTCTGCCGGCGCACTCGCCGGGAGACCTGTCGGACATGTCCGAGGACGACCACCCGATGGAGGTACGACCGCTCCCCAAACCGAGGGCAGCCCTGGTGCAGGGGTGCGGGCTGTGAGCGAGGCGCAGGGTGGTGCGGCGCTGCTTCAGGCATTGGTGTGGGGTGGGGGATGTAGGCCACCCTCAAAGGAGAGCATAATATTGCCCACAAGAAGGAAGAGGTGCCAAGCATGTGTTGGTGGTTTCCGTAGAGAGCTCATCAAGGCTTGGCTTATGTGAACATTGCCAGGTCACGAAAGCTCGCATCCAAGTGACGAGACTCGCAGGGGTTGGAACTTCCGCCGGTGTGGCGTCGCGAGGCGTCTGGTGGACGTCTCGCGCTGACTCAGCCGTCCTGCCGCCAGGACGAGGACGCGTCGGAGGACGGCTCCGAGCCGGAGGACGGCGAAGAGCCCGACTCGGACGACAGCGACGAGGACGAGGACGAGGACGAGCTGATGAACGGGGACTGAACGGCGTCGCGCGTGCAGCGACGGTGAGGCGTCAGTCTGTGTAATGGTTCTCAGCGAGCAAGGTTATAGGGCGGCATAAATGCTACGCCCGACGACCCCTGTCATCGTCCCAAGTTATCACGTGATCACGTTGATGTTTATGAATGGCCCAATGTTTGGGATGGTCGGAGATTGTTGCGTTATGAACCCGTTTTCTTGCACGTATTACGCCTGTGTCTTCAACAGTGCCTTCGGCGGTAAGTGTCGCGTGTTTCTGGTGTCTCCATGCTGTGCGCGTGTCGCGCACTCAGCATGTTCAGAGCCCGATGGTCGCGAGTGCATCGTGTCCCTAGCGTGCGCAGCTGCCGTTTTTCTGTGCCATTCGCCGACCTAACATCCATCCCCGTGTGTTCGCAGGTTGAGAAACAGCCTGGTGCCGGGGCCCTGGGGGTCCAGCCAGACCGACGCACCGCCGGCCGACAGGGACGACATCTGTTGACGTTTTGTGTAATTAACGGGAGATGAGATATTTTTATCGGCTGGTGCTGTGTGCCACTGGTGACCTTTCGATGCCTTTTAGCGGTGCACATGTGTGACGGATGTCGCTCCTTCAGCTGCCGCCGAGTGTGTTAACGTGGTTACATCTGCAGAGCATGCTTTAGGGCGAATACATGGTCATGACGCATCATCGCGAACGCCGTGTGTGGTGACGGACCGGAGCGGAGCAGTGGAGTGGAGTGGAGTGGAGTGGAACCGGACGGAACGAGGTGGAGCGGAACCGGAGCGAGTGGGGGCGCACCGGAGGTGCGTGGTGAGGGACCGGAGCGGAGTCGGAGCGGGTGGGGGCTCGCCGGAGGTGTGTGGTAGCAGCCCGGAGCGGAACAGGAACGGGTAGGGGCTCGCCGGAGGTGTGTGGTGGCGGACCGGAGCGGAGTCGGGGCGGGTGGGGGCTCGCCGGGGATGTGTGGTGACGGGCCGGAGCGGAGTCTGGGCGGGTGGGGGGCGGGTGGGGGCTCGCCGGAGGTGTGTGGTGGCAGCCCGGAGCGGAACTGGAGCGGGTGGGGGCTCGCCGGAGGTGTGGTGGCAGCCCGAAGCGGAACTGGAGCGGGTGGGGGCTCGCCGGAGGTGTGTGGTGACGGACCGGAGCAGAGCCGGAGCGGGTGGGAGCTCGCCGGACAAATGAGTCGGTGCCAGGAGCAGTAGGACAGATGTGGCGGCGTAGGTGGCAGCTAGATGACTTCTTGCGTAAGGCGCACAACATTCGCCTGGGTGTGATCCCTACCACGTGAGGTAATGGGCAGTCAGACCGCAAGAGACACGTGTGGTGGCGTCATCGACCTGCGTCTGATTGCTTCCAGCTTGGGTTGATGCTGTCACTGATTGGAATCGCAAGGTAGCTGTGAGCTGCGCTGCGCATAGTAGAGTGATGGTGCCAGATGAAACCAGGCACTTCTTGGCCAAAGATCAGTTATGTTTTAACACGGTGGCTATCGGCAAATCTATACCAGTTATCGGGGATGCGGATTGCTGACCAAAGAAGGAGGTGCCAAGTTTGAACGAGAGACGAGTAAAAAAAGGACGAAGGCCTTCTGTGGGGGTCCGTCATTTTTGAACCGCATTTCCAGAGAAGCATATAGCAAATTTTGTACCTGTCACACATTAAAAAACACGCTACGGCGTTCCTGCTTCCGCTTCATCCGGCTTGTTTCGTTACTGAAGCCTTGTTACGGCCGCAACTCTGCATTCGTGCTTAGCAGTCCTGGCCTCTGGGGAGGTAGCGCAATACTGTTCCGCGTCGGACCAACTCGCATCACCTCCCCTCCCCTCTTGCCATTTTCCTGGCTCGGAGCCTGGCTATGAGGGACACGCTTGCTGGGCATTTTGGTTTGGCCCTGGGACGTCATTCCCTTTCCAGCGCCCAGCACGCCTCTAGCGGAATATCGCCTGCTGTCTGGCCAGTGACCCCGCCCGTGCCGTGGGCCCCGGCCGACCACCTGGTGCCCAGTTCGGTCACGGCAGACCGTTTTTGCCCGCTGTCGGCGAGGTTATGATCAGTGCGGTCTGTGGTCATGTGGAAGACCACCGATACGGACTTCTTCCGGTGCATTCGTGCACGCAGAGGCGTAGCCAGGATTTCGATTTTGATAGCAAGACGCTCACGGCTATATTTTTTTCCCCTAAGACTGCGCAGTATTGAATTATCGTAACAGGCCATTTGATGGCTATCACGCCCTAAGGCGATGTTTTTGCTCCCGAAATCTTAGCGTGCATCCGCTTCTGCGCCGCATAAGCACTTGGTGCCTGGCGTGCGCGGAAGGTCTTCTGTGTGCGACGGAGAGCAGATGTTCAGCGTTGGTCGTTGCTCGTAGATCAGAGTGCATTGAGCTGCACACGTTTTGTATGTTTTCAACATAGTTAAGCCTGACTGCTGTTTGCTCCGGACAGCCGTTTGTCTGGCAGGCCTACAGGGCAGGCGAGCATTAGCTGTTAGGCCTGCACAGTTGTCTGTCATCAAGGAGAACGCGCTCTTTCCGTTCAAGTACAGAATATGGCAACGTCACCGATCAGGATCAATATAAAGGATCAGCACCAGGTGAGAAACGAAGTTCAACGTGACGTCACTTAACTTCGGATGGCCCAGCCCTTCAACGGACAGCCCATCCCCGGTGGAATATTGCTGGTCAGTCCTGGTCCTGAACGTTGCCATTTTTGTTTTGCAAAACTGTTGGCAGAAAACGTCGTACGTCCCCCCGCGCCCTGCATATCGCTCACCGATCGATAGCGTCAGCAGTAAAGCGTTTCACAAGCAGAAGTGCGCCCAGTTGTGCTCGCGGTTACATTGACATTGCGTACCGTGTTGCACATGGCGGACGGCGAGCGAGGTTGATCAGTGACCTGACCACGCTGCAGGCGTCTGTCCGTCTCGCCGTGTGCGTGGCGTGTGCCGCCACCGCGCTATCAGCAGCGTGGTACCTGCCCAGTGTCAGGAGCGTGGACAAGAGCGACCCGCTGGCCGATCAGCTACACGCCGCGTTTCTGGAGGCGTTGGCAACAAACCGCACGGTAAGGCTTGCGTTGTGGGAAGTGGGAAGGCACAGGAACAAACCCGTGCGTTGTGGGAAGCCGTGGCCCGTGCTTCTCCGGGGTAATTTGAATCTCTTGAGGATGTTTTATCAGGTGTGATCTGCTGGATACCGGACTTGGTGTAGTTCGCGTTTTTGTGACACGGGCTTGGCGCAAGAGCGATAATTTTCCGTCGCAAGAAATTGTATGCGGTTGTAAATTATGCATGCGTTTGTCGCCACGTTGCGCACGACGTGAGGCCCAGAAAGGGTGCTGAGACCACGTGTTTACAGAGTTACGAGAGGTAAAGTCGAACGTAAATATTGGAAAAGAAAGCAGATTATGGCAATGCACGCCAGCATACTGGTGTAAGCTGAAGCGTGATGATAGTAATTATTCGCTTTGCTGCCGGTCCTCTTCAGCTGGCACCAAGGATCGAGGCTGCGGAGACGGCTGCCAGCGGGGCTGAGGCCAGCAAGCCGGCGCCCCGCGGCCCGCCACTGCCCTTCACCAGCACCGTCAGCTGGACCGACCACGGCTGGAGCCGCTACGGCATGAACATGACGCTCTCCGACCGGCTGCCGCTGCGGCGAGCCGTGCCCGACACACGTGACCTCGGGTGAGCGGCCGCCGAGGCTGGGACACCTGACCTGGATTAATCGGACCGGGACACCTGACCTGGACTAATTGGACCGGGACACCTGACCTGGACTAATCGGACTGGGACACCTGACCTGGACTAATCGGGCCAGAGTACCTGACCTGGACCGACCGGACCGGGACACCTGGCCTGGATCGATCGGACCGGGGCACCTGACCTGGACCGACCGGACCGGAGCACCTGACCTGGACCGACCGGACCGGAGCACTTGACCTGGACTAATCAGGATGGAACACTTGATGTGGACTAACCAGGCTGGGGCACCTGACTTGGACCGATGAGGCTGGGACACCCGGCTTGGACTACCCGGGTGGGACACCTGACCTGGACTAACCGGGGTGGGACACCTAACCTGGACTAATCGGGCCGGAGCACCTGACCTGGACCGACCGGACCGGGATACCTGACCTGGACTAATCAGGCTGGGAAGTCTGACCTGGACTAATCAGGATGGAACACTTAATGTGGGCTAACCAGGCTGGGGCACCTGACTTGGACCGACGAGGCTGGGACACCCGGCTTGGACTACCCGGGGTGGGACACCTGACCTGGACAAACTGGCCTGGGACACCTGACCTGGACTACCCGGGGTGGGACACCTGACCTGGACAAACTGGCCTGGGACACCTGACCTGGACAAACTGGCCTGGGACACCTGACCTAGATTAACTAGCCTGGGACACCTGACCTGGACTAACCGGGGTGGGACACCTGACCTGGACTACTCGGGCTAGGGCGCATCCCTCAGCCTCGCCGCCCATGCGTCACCAGAGACATTTTATCTAGGGCGCTGAAACAATTAGCGATGAGAGGTATGTAGGCCGCAGAGAGCCCTCTTACATGGAACACCTTGTCAAATTCGTTCTCTGGAGCAGGTGCCAACGGCGACACTACCCGGCGGCGCTGCCGGCCGCCTCGGTCATCATCGTCTTCCACAACGAGGGTCTGTCGAGCCTGCTGCGAACGGTGCAGAGCGTGCTGGATCGCTCGCCGCCTCACTTGCTGCACGAGGTGCTGCTGGTGGACGACTTCAGCCACTTCGGTAGGACCCGCAGTGTCCACGTGTCGCCGTCTGAAGGCGACGCGCCAGTCTTGCAGGCCGGCTGGCGGCGTGCTGCCGGTGTGCTATTTGACATACACGAATTGTTTGTAAATCTATAATGGTCAAGATGTATGCATGCACTATGTGGGGTAAATGTTAAACAAAATAAAGCGAATTAAGGTAGAGCGTATTGCTAGGTTAATGGTGATACTTGACATGGCTTAAGACAAAATAATGCTGCATAAAGCTACACAAGGCTCTGTCATGTACCACGGGACTGTTTTTTGTTGCGGGGGGGGGGAAGGACTCCAGCTCAAGCATTAGTTTCTTTGCTGTCACCTTTAGGCTGATAATGGCCTTAATCCCATTTTGAGGCCGATGATCTCGAAATCCACAAAGATTACCCCCAAATGTGACGTTTTCACACACAATTAACAAGCTGCCCCCCCCCCCCTCCCACACCCCGTCACCGGCGGCTGACCGGTACCACCCAACCCCAGCTGACCTGGGCGAGCCCCTGGAGTCGGCCGTGGCCCCTCTGCGTCGGGTCCGGCTGCTGCGCTCCGGCCGCCGCGAGGGCCTGATCCGAGCCAAGAGCCTCGGAGCGCTGGCCGCCGGCGGCGAGGTACTGCTCTTCCTGGACGCCCACTGCGAGGTCAACACGGGCTGGCTGCCGCCGCTGCTGTCCGCCGTCGCGCGTGACAGGTGAAGGGGCGGAGAGGCGCGCGGCGGCGTGTCCGCGGTCGGAGTGGGCGTGTCAGGCGCGGTCGTTGGTTCAGCTGTGGGCTGAGTCAGTCGCCATCTTCTCCTTACTGTGAGGGTCAAATGGGTTTGATCTTTGACTATGGCGTATGTGTGGCTATGCGACCATGTGGAGCCGAGCATCACGTGCCGCGTGTTCATTTAGCACTCATTCATATCGCATTCAAGCAACACAAGAAACCGACGCACCCGTAACGGATGACGTACTCGTAGGAGACCGTGTGTCGAGCTGTGCGTCTGCCCAACTCTTTTTCACACGTAGCTGTAGCTGTAGCTGCGTAGCTGTATACCATAGCTGTGCTCCCGTACTGTCTATCGCACTGTTTCTGCTGCGACACGGCCCGTCGGCCTGCCTCACGCGCAGGCGGACGGTGGCCGTGCCGCTCCTGGACTCGATCGACAGCCGCAGCTTCCAGTATCGGCCGCTACATGGCGCCACCGTCGGCCCCCAAGGCTCGCCGCTGCTGCCGCGGGGCATTTTCGACTGGGCGCTCCGCTACAAGGAGCGGGTGCTGACGCCAGCCGAGGTGCAGAGCGGCGCTGCCGCCAGCGCCCCCTACAGGTGACCCAGTGTCGCTGCCTCCCAGGCTGCGCCTCCAACACACAGGGGTGTCAGGTGGCTGCAGACATGCGCGCAGTAATATTCCTGCAGTTTCGGAGGGTGGGCAACGTACGTGAAATTGTCAACGGATGCCCGGAATGCTCGCAATAAATACTCGGAACACTCGTGGAAGCGGTGCATAGCGCAGATTGGCATGCTCATGATTTGACATGACATGGATTCGGCATGGCATGGCACGGGCACGGGGTGTTCATTGCAGATGGCCATAGATACCTCCAGCGCACCGTTAGGTTGCAGCTGTTGCTGATCACACTTGCCAATTTTCCTTTCAGCTCAGCAACGCACTCTGGTGGCATTTTCGCGATCTCCCGCTGGTGGTTTTTCTACCTAGGCGCTTACGACCCACAGCTGCTGGGATGGGGTGCTGAAAACATGGAGCTGTCCTTCAAGGTAGAATGTGGCGTCTGCTTTTCAGCGATCGGGCCTGACCGTTGGTGCTTCACGAATTGGCGAGGGCCCAGCCCGCTCACAGTGAGATGTGACATGAGGGCTTTTGCTTGCGTTTTGCCACTGTACTCATTTTATTAGGTGGTCACAGCAACGTGTGCGTGTGCTTCATGTCAATACCGTAACGTTAATAAGACCACCGTACCTGACAGGCAAAGCGTGTCTTTTGCAGTCAAATGTTTGGATTGCTCACAAAACATCCCACACAACTCTGCTTGTACCTTGGAAAGCCCTCCGCGTGGCGAAGTCTCCTGGCACACCCTTGCTCTCGTGGTGCCAGGTCGCGCGGCGTCGCAGAACACCAGGTCGCTGTGCCGGCAGGCGTGGATGTGTGGCGGCGCCGTGCAGACGGTGCCCTGCTCCCGCGTGGGTCACGTGTACCGGGACCGGACGCCCTACGACTTCGGTGACCTGCCCGCCCGGGCTGGCGGTCCCATCATCAGCGCGGTACGGCCGGGGCGGCCACCGCGGCTGGCTCGGGGCCAGCTGTCCGTCTGCCTGCGCCTGTCACGCGGGGAGAAATACCGGAGGCGGGATGAAGAGAAGCCTGGCTACGTGATGTCACGTCATCTGCTACCGTCTCCGATGCCTGGCCATCTTGGCAGCGGATAGCTTAGTCAGTTCAGTTGTGCGCTGTGTTTCAATCGACCTCGGTGTGGAGTCAATGTCAATTGCTGTACCACGCAGCTCCAGAATGCGACGAGCAGTAGGAAGCAATATTATGCGATATGATGAGCAATAATGCAGTCATCCAAGCCTTATGCCGACAACCAATGGCTGGCCTCTTCACCATCCCGCTTCTTCGTTTTGCCTGAGCTCGTGCTGTCCTCAGGCTGCCAACATAAGCAGCTTTTGGGTGGGCTTCACTCCACAGAACTTCCTGCGCGTGGCCCACGTCTGGATGGACCAACATCGCGAGCACTTCCTGACGGAGGAGCCCGCGAGCCGACATATCGCCATTGGTGACGTCAGCGATCGTCAGCTGCTGCGGCGTCAGCTGGCCTGCCGCAGCTTCGACTGGTACCTGGCGACGGTGGTGCCCGAGCTGACGGCCATATACCCGCCGCCGCCCGTCAACGCCTTCTGGGGTCAGGTCAGCGCCACACTTGTGTATGCAGGCCCAGCTGTTGGTGTGAAGCCCGCATGTGGGCTTCAAGGCCGTCGCCATTCTCGCAATATAGTGAGCCTCACGCTGTCACCGCAAAATATTTCCACAAAGCCGCTCTGTCAGTCCCGGTGGCTTACTTGGTTAGAGCGCCTGTGTCTGGATTCACCCGCCCGTGGCGAGGTGCGTTCGAGTCGGTTTAAGCGCTCCTTGTTTGCCTCTGACCGGAATGGCCTGCGGCCGGTGGCGGCGCCCGCGCTAAAGGTCACGCCATGTCAGAGGATAAGAAAGGCCTTTTCGAGCATTATTATGACCGTTATGACTTCGCCACGAAATTATGCCGTTGACCTAGAAGAGTGCAATCGGATGGTGGGGTAAGGTTTTACGAAACAAGTACGAGTTGGCGTGGGTCCTTGTCCTAGAAATATGTCCAACCGAAAAGCTTGGACCAGATTCTGCTTTCTAACCACATGGTCCAGTGGCCATGTGTTGGCACAATGGTTACCCCAAATTTTAGTACGATAGAATTCAAGGTGATAAATGACGTCATAGCTTTTAGTAAAGACGCTGGCACGGTGAACTTCTTTCGCTCTTGAGTCTTCCCGTTCTTTGGGAGCCAAGGTGGCTCTATGTGTCAATCCAGTGGCTAACTGAGGTTGACCCAATCGGTGCGCTTAGCTCAACACCGTGGCCCTGCCCTACCCCGGCTCGTGAACCGCCGTCCTGCCCCCCCCCCCCCCCCGGCCCGTAGGCCTCTTACTCTTTTCTATCCACTCCAGCCCGTGGGCCTCTGCCCCGCCCACCCCGGCTCTCGAGCAAGCCTGCCGACCCACCGCGCCTGACAGGGCCGGCCGCTCCTCTCTGTCGCAGGTGGTGCACGAGGCCACCGGTCTGTGTGTCGTCACCGGCAGCCCGGTGGAGCCGCTGGTGCAGACGCTGGTGCTACGCCGGTGCCCGCCGACCGGCCCCGGCCAGGTGCCGACACCCGCCGCGCCTCTGCGCCCTGACGAAGGGCCGAGTCGTGGGGTAGAGGGGAGGAAGGGGAGGGACAGGCAGAAGAGGGCGAGAGATGGCCGTCGATATGTACCGTATATTGCATGCGGTTGGCGGATATGCTGCACGCCCGATGTCACGTGTTTCGAACAAGGGTTGATAGAGCTGTTAGCTCACCATGTTCTGACTTGGCGACATCGAACATCAAAAGTCGCTATGACAAGCATCTAAGCATCGACTTCATTAAATGTCTCGACTCGTACTCTAACAGCTATCTCGACTCGGCTCTTGTAGTGTGTCTATAGTCTAAGCTTTTACTTTGCTTTCAAAACCATCAGTTAACGCATGTACTGCGTACCAGGTAGCTGATGCACTGGGGCACCACCACCCGTCACACCACAATCATCGGCTCTTCAAGGGGGCAGCATTGGCGTCACAGCGAAAATCCCATAATTGCGACGGGCTCGGCTGCCTTCGACAAAGCGCACTGCTCGAACGCTGCCATTCGACACGGCCTTCGGCCCGTGCAGGTGCACTCTGCTCCTACAGCGTAGCAGGGCATCTGTGCCCTAACCGCCGTCCGTGCCTTAACCGCCGTCCGTCCCGTTCGCCAGGTGTTCCGCCTGAGCTTGGCCGGCAGGCTGATCTCGGGGGAGACATGCGCTGGCTTCATGCCATCCCTCGACTCGGTCGTGGCTTCCATCTGTCCCAGCGAAGCTGCGGTCATGACCTGGGCCTATGACGAGGTGAGCTGACCCCCTTCCGTCTGTCCCAGCGAGGCCGCGGTCATGACCTGGACCTGTGACGAGGTGAGCGGCGCCCCCTCCCCCGCGCCGGTGGTTCGACACCGGAGGTGTGAGGGGGTCTCAGCGCGTGACGGCTTACACGTCGGTTACCAGCCGTGGCAATGATTCCCTCCTGTCGTGATGGGAATGTTTCGGGACGATTGACAGTGCATTGGTACAGATCTCAGCCCCAAACCATGCGCCAGTGTGTGGCATTGGCGGACGTGACTGTCTGCACATTGTTGCATCAGGGTCGGAGGGAGATGGCGCTCCGCCTGTCGGGTTCACTGCGCACGAAGTGAACTGTGTTAAAGGTGACTTTGAGCCAGGTCAAAGTGTAGATCATTCGTGCTATTCGGCCATCCTGAATATGTCAGCTTTGGATTAGCCGTCACTCCGAAGGGCATCTGCATTTTAAAAGTCGCCCACCTGTGACAGTCCATTCAGTGTATCGGGTACACTTACATAAACCTCATTGGGCATTCTGCTGGAGCATTGCACGACCAGAAGCTATCTTTAGACGTACTGGTGAGGCCATTTTGCGCTCATGCTGGACAGACTCTCGTCATCGCATCGGCCATTAACGTCCCCGTCCCGGCGTCCGCACCTCGAAGACCACCGCCATGGTGACATATCCAGACCGTCTCCCCAACCCAGCTGACCACAGCCCTCCCGCCGCAGGTGACGGGCGCCTTCAAGCACGCGCTGCTCGGCCTCTGCCTGACGGCCGGTGACGTCACGCCCGGCCAGATGGCGCCACCGTCGGGCCCACTGGCGCTGGCGCCGTGCCGGGACGGACCGCGACAGAGGTTCCGCTGGCGTCGGTCGACCGACGGCGACACCTGGACGTCCAGAGCGCTGACGGTGTTCGCGCCGCCACTGACTGCGTGGCGGCACGCACTCGAAGACATATTTTCGTTGGAGTTGTGAAAAGGTTGCTTGGGAGAAGATAAGCATTCCCCACCGTCGATGGTGGGGGTTTATTTATATGTGATCTGCACGTGCGGTTGTGGTCACCGGTCAGGGCTTTGCTGGTTTTCTGGTGGGCTAGTGGAGCTGCTCTATCCTTTTTCGGGATGAAGCTCGCCTGCTACTCCTGAACTATTCGACGGTGGTTTGGCCTAGTGATGGGACAGCCTGAGTCATATTAAAGGTTTCGGATGATCGGTTTCACTGCCGGCTAACTGCCAGCCGTGTTAATCGGTCTATGGTGCACATGTTGCGGCTTTGGTCCGCTGAGCGATGGACAGAGTACAGCCTGAGGTGTAAATCATCCGTGAAGCCGCAGACTTGACCGTTTTGGCCCTGAGGTCAGAGGCCTGGGTCTGGCCTCGTGCATTTGGAGGTCTATCTATGTCACGTTTCCTGTCTCCCATTGCCTTGCCATGCCCTTCATCCTGCACAAGCCAAGTAACATGCATTGGCATTGTTGCTTCGTTGCAGGTCACTTATGCACATGCATGTGCATAAGGTGTGCTTTGTGCTTTTCGCGAAGGGAAAAATCACAAGACCAGTCTGAACCATCGCATACGGCAATTTACTTCATCCGACATCTGCGATGCGTTGTTACTCTGCGTGATGTAACCTCCCATTTTTTTGTTTCCCGTTTTTGGATGGGTGAGCGTGAGCAGTGAGCGGACGCGTGCAGAGGTCGTGACCCGCAGCCAGACAGCAGCCTGACTGGGCTCCGGGGGAGGGGGGGGGGGGGGGGGGGGGGGGCGTTCGAGTGATGCACGCTCGGCGTTGGGTGACCGAGGCCGCTTCTAAATGAACATATGTTTGTTCATGACTTGCTATCGTAACCTTTTAGCTCAGGAAACATCAAAGACATTCGGTGGTTGCTGATTGCTGGTAGCAGGCTGATTGAAATTACTAATAGTGCATTATGCATATGCATGGTTGTCGATTTCTCAAAATGATGGGAGGGGGGCAGAGTCTTGGGAGTCGCGGTATGGGGACTGGTACGAAATTTGTCTCGATTTTTGTCCGCTTCTGTTCTAGTTATTATCATATATATTTTATATGTTTTAGTTATTATATATATATATATATATATATATATATATATATATATATATATATATATATATGGCTCTCATAACGCAATGACAAACGTTCTCAATATTATCACACCAAAATGCCATCGATAAAACGCATGCATATCGGTTAATGTCAGGGAAAATATTACCACTCTCCACGCATCATTTCAGAACATGGTCCCCAACCTTTCCCCCAAAAAAGTTTGGGTAGATACCCTCCTGTCAAAAAATGTCCTTTCCCCGCTCGTTTCGAAACACGCGCAATGCAGGCCAGTTGTACTTCTGGGGCACACTGTTCGAAGCTGTTGTGCTTGTGAAGGGACAACGATCCTCACCCGCTTCAGTGCGAACGCGCGGCGAATGAAACTCCGGCTAACAACAACGCTACAAAGCATCAACCGAAATGTGAAACTTTATCAATTTTGGTACTTTTTAGAGGCATGCCCATCAACAAGAGCTGATGGATAAAACAAATATTGTTAGCTGCAATGCAATGCACCGGGCATTGAGTTTCGCGGACAGTTAAATGCCTGAGAAGATGTTTTCGGGGTCGGAGATGTCTGATAGTTATTGGACCTGATCAGATGGCCTGATGAGATATGTGTAACTGGAAATCACGCACCGGCAAATGAGCGTACGGTCTATTCTTCAAAAATGAGTGATGAAGCTAACCGGACACTTCCGAAATTGAAATAACATGTCAAAGTGCTCGCAATACACCATGTGACACACCACAACTGCCGTTGTTGCGTGAATTTCGCCGCCGCTGTAAAACACCGACGCTCAGCCGGATATAATGCTGCCAGAGGGACCGTCCCCGCCCGGCGGCACGTGGCTGATAAATTCCCGACCGGTGCCTCGTCACCATACACCCCGGAAACAGCGCCGGACGTGAGGGCCGGCACATGGCCTGGTTTTGCCGCAGACCGTTTATGGATGACATCCAGTAATGCAGCGTTTTAACGGGAGTGCTTACTGTGGATAACATCAAAAGCAACTTTCCTTCGTTTTCAGATTAACATTCACAGTCTACGTTTATGGACCTGACGGCAAACGATGGGCTTCGCTCCGAGTCATCGCGGTTTTCGTGTGTTTCAGACTTGGTACGAAAACTATATCCCTGTTAAATAATGCTAATGTGAAAAGAGTTTATCTTTCTTTTCCATGCCAACTCGGTCATATGCTTTACCAGTTTGCAAGTGCCGGGAGACTTTTCAAAGCATAACACTTAACACAAGGCCAACCAGATGTTGGAAGTCATGAGACTGTCATTCGCCAACATTGACGTTTTCACGCTGCTGCCGTGGTCAGGACCACGGTGTTCCCATTTTGATGCAACTATTCGAGGGTATGGCAACTACGCAAGTATTCGAGGGCAGGGTATAGCGTCATCACCTAGGGTCCAAGCTGGATCAGTAGCGGCTGGGATGGGTTCATTGACGAGCTACGTGCCTTGTCCGAGAAGCATCGGCCATATCCTGCAATGCCCAGACTCCTCTAACTACCCTCGCTGTACTACCGACGCCGCGAGGGAAACATGACTGCAGTGTTTCAGATGTTTCACGGAGGCACGTCTTGGCCGGCGCACGAGCTCGTGACAAGCCACGGCCCGGAAGTGACATGACGACACCAATGTGAGCTGACAGGCCCTCAGGTCAGGACGTTCGTCCGTCGGAACTCCTCCCGCGCCTGGGCCGTAAATGATTGGAACGCACTTCCACCGGCAATGCTATCGTCATCCGCAGTTGAACAGTTGAAGACTATGCATGATTCACGTTGAACGAGCGTCATGTACAACAGCCCACACTGACCATGTCGTTAAAATGAGGCTGCTTAGAACGGGATCGCGAAAAGACCGGGACCCACAGGCGAAGTGACGTTAATTCCTGATCAACACCATTGGGTAACACCATTACAGCTTTGAAGGTAACTTGATACGTTAAAGTCTGCAGGTTGTTGGGGCACTGATAACGTAAACCCGACGCAACTTGTTGGGGAACTGATAACGCAAACCCGATATTTTTGGATCCACGGCTCCAATATTTCTGAACTCACCTGGGCATGCCGCATGTTGCAGCGAGAGTCCCGGCGCGCATGCAGTCCGTCTGCCTGGGTGTGCGTACTCGTAAACACATTTTGATTTGGTTTCCCAGCTGCGCGTGACACACACTAGAAAAGCCGCGCAAGATGACACCCACAATACTCACACCACCGCCCGGGGGAATGCAGCTGTGGTGCGGCCGCTGGCAGATGCTGCGGCAGGATTTGAATACTGCTGGGAAACCGGCCTGAGCCTGACCAAATCCCACTCACATTCCGCTACGGGATTCCCGGAAAAACGCACCATATGCTCAGCTGGGCACAAGCTTGGCTCTACCTGGCCAGTACCTCAGCTTATTCCATGTTATGGGGGCGTGAGTGGTAGCGCCGCCCTCTGGGAAACACCGCCCACCCCAATAGCAGGAATATTTGGTACTGCACACCAACAGCTGACGGCCCTCCTCGGCCATGACGCTGAAGAGGAAGGTAGGGTACCGGGACGCTCCGATTTAATCGGATTTTGCAGTTGAAATACACCGTTCTTTGCATTCGCATGTAGTGCTATTGAAAATGGAACACTTTTCACTCCCGGAATGGGACAGAGCAGTGTTGAGTCATACCAAATGACGATTTCCCGGAGGTTCAAAGACACCTGGATCAAGTTTGCGCTGCATGGATTGTAAGCGGTGGACTGGTAATAGCGACATCTACGCTTTCATGCTGCTGGCAAACCAATGGGGAAACACTGCCCGCTTTACCGGGGGCTACCCCACCATGGGCGATGCTACCCCAGGCGATGTTGTACAAGAACTTTGAGCGATGGAAAGGATTGGGGAGATGTAAAAATATATGAAAATTATCAGAGATAAGGTGTAAATAAAGTCCCGATTA